GCCTATCCGATGGCGATGCCGATGACGATGGCAATTGCAATTGCGGCAACTTTTAGCTAGCTGCTAGTTTGTTGGTTTCGTTTGGAAAATTGAAACAATTTCCGATGTCACTCTCACTTTTTATTTCACCTGACGACGAGTTGCAGCCAATCTAGACAACCAGATATGTAACGACGACGATGGACGGCGACGACCACAGCACAACGTGATTTGGAGATGTGTTTGCTCTCTGTTGCAACTGTCGCTGCTGCTGCCGCTGCTGTTGCTGGTGCCGCTGCTGCACTTGTTGTGTCCAGCGGGGAAAAAGTGGTTCAGATTGCACTGAAGTCCCAGCTCCAGCTCCAGCCACAGCATCATCATCATTATCGCCATCGTCATCATCGGCTGACTCCCCAAAAACGCATCCATGGCAGCTAATGCAACATCTGGGCCTGCTGCGGCTGCATGTTGCTGCTGCAGGAGTTGCTCTCGTTGATGAGTTGCACAGTTCGCCACAGCCACTCGGACATCTTGGGGGTTTTCGTTTGAGGACCCCTGTTCCTGACAGGCCATTACTTACGTATGCCTGGGTTAGAGAGCAGATCTTGCTGGGGATTTTACGACCAGCAGGTGGAAGAATCATCAAATTTGGCCTACTTGGCTTCGTGAATGCAGTTTAAAATGTTTCAACTTCACCCAATAATTACTTTTTGGCTGGTATTAATCACTTGCTAACACTTACAGGGGTGGTCAAAGATATTTGCACAAAATACAACCCAGTATATCTCTAATGCGTTAGTTTCTTTGACGTATCCCAAACTTGTCATCAATGCTATTATGTGGCTAGCATAGCAAAACCATCTTTGACTCAATGAATATAAATAAAATGTAAAAGACTAAGTGTTGATGTACTAGTGCCATCCATTAAGATATCAGTGGCTATTAAAATCCCTGGCTTATCTCAACTTGCAGAGCCCATCGCTCGCATATCAGCATTTTTCGATATTTTTCGATATTCCTCGCATTGGCAAAATATTCACTCAACCAATAAATGCCTGCGTTGATCTGGTGAATGATATCGCGTATTAATCTCTTCTATCTGAAGCATTTCGCATTGGCTTTATTGGCCGTGCGTGTCTCTGTCTTTTTGCTTCTCTGTTTGTTTGCTTGTTTGTTTGTTTGTTTGTCGTTGGATGTTTGTTGTGACGCTTTTGGTATCAGGTTGCCATTGCCTGCCTCGTTAGAGAGTGTGCTTGAGTGTGTGTGAGCCGCTATCCTGCCAGCGAACTTTTGTTGTTGTCGCACTGCGAGTTGCAAGTTGCTGGTGTGCTGTTGTTGCTGTTGTTGCTGATGCTGCGATGCTGCGATGTTGCGATGTTGCGATGTTGCTGCCGCTTGGACTGATGTAACGAGGTTTAATTTTCCATTTCAGTGAGCGGCTTGCTTTGGAGATTTTACTCTCGTTTTTCATTGTGTCGCCGGCTTTGGCTCGGTTTTCCTTTTAGCCAAGTAAGTCGCAGTCTGGGCTTTGGTTGTGGTTTAGTTGCGCTTGATTATGCTTTTCGCTCTTGCTATTGCCGCTGCTGAAGCGCGACTGCGTCGCCTGATTGTCATGATTATCACGATAATTATGCGGCCAGCATTTAATAATCACCATGCCGCTGCTGATGACGGAGGTTCGTCAGAAATTCGACAAAGTTAATTTCGAGCTACTCGTTCGACTGTCGCTCCATAACTATGCTTCAGTTTCAGTACGGCACTGAAGAAAAACCAAGTGTCCAAGAAAACCAGGAAAAACCAAAAACGTCCATTACGTTGCGTTCAGTGTTTTAGTTCAAAAATGTCCAAATTATTGAGCCAAAGTCATTTCTTGTGCTACAAATTGCTATGACTGGCATTTTCTTGAGCAGGATTGTAACTCGCAGCTCTTCAAACATATATCGTATCATATATCATCATTCATTTATATATCATACAACCTCCTCCAAAGTGATTTAAAATAAGAACCAGGTGGTTGCAAATCACAGTTCAACATTTTAGGCCACAGGAATGTTGGCGCTGGGCTGTTTCCTCAGTGCAGTTGCAGTTGCAACTGCAATCCCGTAGCAGCAACATTGTCAACGGCAACAACATCTCCTCCGCTGGACATTTTTGCCAATCTGGAGCGCAGTTTTCCATCGTCGCCATCGCCATCGCCATCACCATCCCCATCGCCTGACTGCCTGACTGCGTTTTTCGCGGTTTTACAACTTTGATTTCACTTTTCTTTGCAACATGCGACGCCGCTTGCGGGATTTGGTTGGTACTCGCATTCGTATCTGTATCTGTGGCTTTTTAGCTGTGCATCTGCAGCCGCACGTACCTGTGTATCTGAATCTGTATCCGTACCTTCACCGTCCGTTTCTTGAACTGTTTGCTTCATTGCTCCCGTTGTTGTCGTCCACAGTCGCTTGGCTAAAACTTTGTTACTCTTTAATTGGTTTCTTTTTTATTGTTTTCTTCCCGGCTTTCGCAGGCATCCGCTTAAAGGTGACCATCGCCGCGATGATCGCGTCGCTGATGATGATGCAGTGGCGTCCAGCTGAATAGTCGGCTATAATTGTCAACCGCTTTGGCACGTTTGCAACAAATTATAAAACACATCGCGGCTTTTGGGCACTGCAGTGCGGCTTGGGATTTGGGCGCCGGCGAAATTTTACTTTTGGCGGGCCAAGCAAAGTCACATGAAAGGCGTGTTGACGCTTCAGGTGCAACACGGGATTAACTGCCTCGGTCAGCTTGAAATTCATTCATTAAAAAGAATTTGTCTCGGTACGGCGACACATACTGCTTCCAACTGAATAGGTTAAATATATCTTGATCCTTAAGCATGACAAAATATGATATTATAATGCCTCAGCTTAAAATGTATTGCATTGTACACAAGAGTAATTTGTTTATAACACCGTCATTCACCTAAGATAATATTAACTCTCGTATTTTGCCATCTTCAATGAGCTCGAAGTCGTTTCTGTTCGACTGAGTACCAACAATTTTTTACCAGCTAAGCAAATAAAAGAAACATGTTGATAATGCCAACTAACTTCAAATATTTGATAACCGTATAAATTAACAAAGTAAAGCTCAGTTTATAGGCCTCACTAAGTAAATAATTTCTAAACTGCATTTTAACTATCAACAACAAATTCCAATTAACATACTTTTTACAAAAAGAGTTATATTGCAACCTGCAGTGATAATTTTATCTTCCGAAATCTAAAACGATGCACAAAAAAACACCTGATCGTTGCACTTATAAACGCTGCAATCTTTCCACGCGTTCTCAAGCTCTAATTACAATTATGCAACAATAATTTTCGACTCCATAACACCGCAGACAGCAAATCAAAGGCAGCAAATGCGGCTAATTAACTTTTTGGCAACGCGGCCAGCCAGCCAGCCAGCAACAAGAACAACAAAAGGCAATTTGTTGTCGCCAGACGATCGCTAAATGCTGCAACAATAACAGCAACAGCAACAACAACAACAGCAGCAGCAGCAGCAAGTGAAGCAACAAAAACAACAGCAACGTCAGCGACGACAGCAGCAACCCACGAAAATGTCTCATGAAAAATTCTGTTCTAGATGGGAGAACAGAGCTCCATAGATCAACGCGCCCACCTGAATGCAAGTTGTCTGTTAAAGTTGTTGCTGTTGCAGCAGTTGTTGCAGTTGCTGTTGCTGCAGCAGTTGGCAAATATGCAACTTTGGTTGCGGTTGCCGTTGAGCTCAGTTCACATGATGAGCTGTGGAGTTGGGGATCTCTTTAAGGTCTATTCTTGGCGTGCCATCTGCCCAGAGTCGAGCTTCAGTTTATGCACAGCACTAAAAATGCGTACCAAACATAAATTTCAGCGGAAATGTATGACTTGGTTTTACCAACCCTATTTGAATTTTGTAAAGCTGAAGCTCAAGGTGCTAATCGCATTCACCTAAATGGTTTGGACTTTTATAACATATTGTGTTGATGGTATGATTTTTTTGCACTTTGCAAATCTTTGAACTTAATCCATGTTGTCGCCCAGTGTAACCCACCCTCCTCCTTGAAAGCCCACGCATTTTCCGCTGCCTCGCACGCACCTTCTGGCGATGTTGAACGACCTCCACACGAGGTGCCACTGTACCCCACTTCCTACCCGTGGGTTGCCCCACCTCCCCCTTGGAGGTGTGTGCTTAGATGTTTGTCTGCCCGTCTGTTTGTCTTACATAATCGTCACTCTAGATACCGTTAACGTTTTTGTTAATTTTCATGACTTCTTTTTCTTGTCAGTTTTCAAGTCTTTTTCCACCCTAAAACAACAGACAATAGAACAATTGTTTAAATATTTCGGATGCCCCCTTCCTTTTCGAAGGTTTTGGCATTTGCGGCAAAAGAATACTTAAAATGAGAAGAAAATAACCAGAAAATGTTAAAAAACATTTTCTTTCGGTTGCCGAACAGATATTATTAGATCGCTGGGTATGTCGCCAGGCAGCTTAATGACGTGCATGGAATTACCTTAAACATAATATTGGTAAAGTCCAATCCATACAGCTGCGAAAAGTCGAACTCTGTGACACTCCAGGGAACTGGGTTTATTTGGCAAGATTTGGATTTCTATTTAGTCAGTGGGTGAAAGTATTGGCATTTTTGCGGTCCAACTAAACTATGGTATTAAAATAAAACTAAATAAACTAAAATAAAACTTGTTAAAACTAATTATTTGATTAAACGAGGTAAACAGTTAGTGACGATTGCACCTTCAACAACAAAAGAAACAGTACCTGGAACTTATCCATTTGACACGCTTTATCAAAATATTTGGTATGTGTAATTAATTGGCATTTGGTTTTTGCGCTGCATTTCGATTGATCAGCTTTACGTACTCTCTTGGTGCGCTTCGTCACTAAGTAGGGTGCCGTGCACAATGATTAGCTTCTGAATTTTGTTTAAAATGGTGTTATAATATTATTAACCTGTTAACCTTTGCTATTTCTTTCAGGTACATAACCACTGTAAATCAAAGGCAATTTTGAATGTGAATCATTCTGAGCGTCTTGGCACCAGACGCATTGAAAGTCGAAAAGCGAGCACAAAACCTAAAACCTACAACTTGGCAGCCTGGCAGCCTGGGCACTCAATCGAACCGCCAGTCCACCAATCAATCAATCAGCAATCAATCAAGGCGAAAAGGCAGGAAAACGGAGAAAAACTCGGTTACGGCCCGTTTGCGACCTATGAGAGTTATGAGAGAGAAAGACCACTCACCAAGAAAGATGCTTCCTAGCCCAAAACAGGGCTGCGTATACCCTGCCTTAGGATTAATACCCACTTCGTATATATCACACGTACCTTATGATCTGGCCTCCTCAGCGGCGGCGGCCACATCCTCGTCATCATCGTCGCCGACGACGACGTCAGCAACGACAACTGGGCGGCTGCAGCACCAACACTCCCACCAGCAACACCAGACCATAAATCACCATGCCAAGGGCAAGCGGAGAGGCAGTTTCGATCAGCCGTTGGATCTGCGATTGGCCCACAAGAGGAAGACGGATCTGGCGGATCAAGGACCCATGGAGGATGAGAACAGCAACCTGATCATGTTCGCCAGTGAACTGGCAGTGGCTCAGCAGAAGGAGAAGGAGCTGAACAACAACCATATAGCAGCTTCGCTGGCTGACCTGGGCTTTGACATGAGCCGCAAAATGCTGAGGGCCTTGAGAGAGGGTGGTGCAGGCGGTGGAGGTGGAGGTGGAGGAGGAGGAGGAGGGGGTGGCCCACCCAGCGCACCGCCCTTAACACCACCGCAATGTTCGATACCCGCCGTGCATCCCACTCTCCTAGAAGCCATGACCAAGAATTTGCCCTTGCAGTATCGCAATGTGTTCGCTGGAGTCTTGCCCGGAAAGGTGACCAGTCCAGCGGCCTCCAGTAGCCCCACGGGTGCGGATTTCCCGTTCCGGCATCCGCTCAAGAAGTGCGAGCTCACCTGGCCACCGCCCACAGAGCAGTTGCAACTGGAGCTGCCCCATCCGAACCCGAAGTTATCGCCGGTCCTGCCCCATCCGCAACTGCAGGACTATCAAACGAGGAGGAAGAACAAGGCCAGAACAGCTGCCACCGGGGGCAATGCCACGCCCAACTTGCCGCAACGCAACAAGGATCGTTACACCTGCAAGTTTTGCGGAAAAGTCTTTCCGAGATCGGCGAACCTGACGAGGCATCTCCGAACGCATACGGGCGAGCAGCCCTACAAATGCAAATACTGCGAACGTTCCTTTAGCATATCCTCGAATCTGCAGCGCCATGTGCGGAATATCCACAACAAGGAGCGCCCCTTCAAGTGTGAGATATGCGAGCGATGCTTTGGCCAACAGACGAATCTGGACAGGCACCTCAAGAAGCACGAATCGGATGCGGTGTCCTTGAGCGCCTTGTCGGGCGTGAGCGAAAGGATGCACTGCATACGCAGATTCTGCGAGAATCCCACAGAAGAATCCTATTTCGAGGAGATACGCAGCTTCATGGGCAAGGTCACGCAGCAGCAGCAGCAGCAGCAGCAACAGCAACAGCAGCAGCAGCAGCACGACCAACAGCAGCAGCAACAGCATCAGTCAACCGCAACATCGGCGTCCAGTTCGTGCTCCTCGTCGCGGGACACGCCCACATCCTCGCAGGAGGAGGCGGACAATGCGCCAGCAACATCGACGGCTGACACGGCAGCAACATCGTCCAGCAGAGACCAGGAGGAGGAGGACTCGCAGCCCATCATGGAGCTTAAGAGGACCCTCACCTCCAAGCTCTTCCCCAGCACAACCGCAGCCACCGCTATCACGACGCCCCAAACAACATCCATCAAGGAAGAGGAACCCTAACTACGTAAAATCCATTTCAACAAACCAATTTCCTATAGCAGAGGAGCCGGAAGGAGGTGAAGAGGTCCGTAAACTATGTCTAACACCTAGCTGAGGAGCAGATCCCTAAAACTATGTCTAATATCTAGCTGTAAATATATATACATGTATCCCTAAACCCCTATATGTTCTACAAATACGTGTAAATCGAGTTGTACAAATCGAGAATTGGCAGATATTTTAATATAAATAAATACGAACGTATGTGCATAACTATTATTAGATTCGTCCTAAGCATTGGTATTCTTTTGTACATATACGAGCGTGACATGACGAAAAGTGTATGAAAAGTAATGACAAACAAAACAACGCGCCCACTGTTTAAATAAAAAGTTACAAGTTTTTGAAATTAACTAAGGTGCAATTTTGACTGGGAAAGGAAAAATATTATAATATTTATAGCGGTGAAACTTCTAAAAGCGGATTCGAAATTTGACATCCGGTATTATGTATGTATTATACATAGATTTTACGAAGAACCTTTCATACATGTATTATACATATACATACAACGATTTAGCTTGGAACGCAACCAGTCTGGTTGCGATCTGAGCTATTCAAATCTTTTGTCGAAGGATTGCCTTGCCTATTCTTGTTTAATCTTATTTTATTATTAGAGAAATGAGGTAACATTACAATATTCATCTATATTCAGCTTTGTAAAAAAAAGGCTTGTGTGCAGCGGTCTTTTCTAATAATGTTATAATTCTTTTACATATATGTAAGTTCGAGAGAGTTTAAAGCTGTATCCCGTCATTCATACGTAACCGAATATCTTACCAAACAATATCTATTACAAGTCAAGAGATGCAACAAAGATTGTGCTGCTCTCCCGACGGATAAAAAGTAAAATATTTGCCAGACTTAGGACAATATTTGGTCGTTCGCAAAATACATACACTGATAGCGACGGACTATTACTTAAAATCATGGGGAACATTTCGAGGCACTAATCTCGGCGGGCGACGGACAACCGCTGTCATATGCCCCACGATCCAGATAATAAATAAATCCAAATGCACATCTTCAAGGGGCAGATAGTATGGACCCGGGACTTAGTCAGTGCCAAGCGGTCAGGCAATCAAGTTGAGCTCTCTCTCTCTCTATAAATCGTAGCCGTGGGCCACTGCAGCCTAATTCAATTAAAATTAAAACGCAGATCTACGCGTTCGAGAGAAATTGCCCCAAATTTCCGACAATTATAGGCCACGCTGTCGTCAGTAATCTCGCGTCTGCGTAGGCGGCACTAGCTGAATCCCGGTCATGCAATCGGACGCATCTCCCCAGGGAGCTGCTGCCACGGAATCCCTTCCAATGCACCGCTCCACCTCCATGCCGGTGAAGCCCAAGCCACTGGAGCAGAAGCCACTGCTCCGTTCCTCCGAAAAGGAGACGGTCAATGCGTCGGATTACTATCCGGAAAGTCCGGGGTTCGTACGACGCAGAAGGTCAAAAGCCGCCGGGGATCACCTGGAAACACGCAGCGAGCTAAAGTGAGTTGAGTTCGAGCCAAAAACCGAGTAAAATTTACAAAGACTATGGATAATACTAGGCTCCACATTTATAAAGCACCCGTGTATTATTCAAATGCAACATTGTTACCACGGATCATATTTTATAATGGGCTATGGCCATAAATAATTTTTTTAAACCTCATGTCTAGTTTTCCCTACACGCACGACTGGGCGGGCAGTACGATAGAGCTTACCCCAGATTTGGGATCCGGACCGCGGACTTCAACTTCCGATGGACTGAAACGAAGCCTTCATCGGGTGATGGAAAAGAACGGCAAGGAGAACGTTGTGTTCCGGCGAGTTCCGGAGAAGTCATGGCGCTACATGCGGGATCTGGTCACCACGCTGGTAAGATCCTGGTTCGGCCACAGGAAAACGTCAACGCCCCAAGCCGATCAATCGCGATCGGATGTGTATAGCATAACGCCCAGTATTCAACGCAGACTCGATGAATTGGCCAATGAGCCACCGCACCTGAGTCCCCATCTTTCGAAGTCTAATCCTAACCAAAACGAGCGCGTCACGTTTAGCATATAGTTTCTAGTACATTAATCAAACCATGACCGACTAAAATACTCACACATATTAATAAATACGTATTAACCAACCACATATTCACTTGCTAAATTGGGGGAATCTATAGTAAAGATATTCCAATTGCTTATATGAGGCTACTTAACTTGTAAGGGTCGTATTTTGTGCATGCTCATCATTGGTAATCCATAAAGGTCGTTTCTTTCCAATCGCGCAGATGGAACTGGAATGGAAGTACATGCTGACTTTGTTCCTGGGAAGTTACTTTCTCAGCTGGCTGCTCTTCGCGGCCCTCTGCTACGTGGTGGCCTACTCCCACGGTGACTTCATCTTCGATCCGGTCAGTGGTAAGCGAATGGGCGAGGGTGTGGACCCTTGCATCTACGGAGTACACAGCTGGGTGGCCATGGTCATATACTCTGTGGAAACACAGACGACCCTCGGATTCGGCGAAAAGTACGCCAGCGAGGAGTGTCCGGAGACCATCTTCCTGTTCGTCATGCAGATGGTGAGTGCGGCTCTAATTGAGGGCTGTATGGTGAGCGTGATCTATGCCAAGACAGCCCGGCCGGCGAGGCAGCTGACCAAGCTGAAGTTCAGCGATAAGGCGGTGGTAAGTAAACTGCCTCTATTGGGGGAGGAGAACACCCATTCAGATCCATCCTTTAGTGATTATCTCACGTAGATCTGTTATCGCGACGACAGGCTTTGCTTGCTTTTCCGCGTGTGCGATCCCCGCGAGCAGCAGTCCATTGAGTCCAAAATCCGGGTCTACATCATCGTGGACAAACGGTGAGTCACTGCCGTAGAAAAATTACATTTTAGACGGGTGCCAGCTGTAAGTACCAATACTATAAACAGAGCATAGAATCAAGCAAAGATCAAATACAAAAGACGACTTAGGATAACTTGTGTTACGTTACGTTGAAGTTAATAGTTATAAAGTATTTTAAAAATGCTAAAGAACCCAACCAATCATACAAATATACATACCCAACCAAAAATACTAAATTAGCTTGACCTTCCATTTAGATAGTACTTGCAACTAGATAAAACATGCAATTAAAACGAGCCCCCATCTTATCTGTTTCGCTGACAGCACGCGCGAGGGTGAGATTATAAAAAGTCACGTGGAACTGAAGCTGGAGGGGAATGGGGAGCAGATTATTCTCTGGCCCGATGTGGTGTGCCATGTCATCGATGAGACAAGTCCGTTGTTCCAGTTCACCACAGCAAAACTCTTTAATGCTGCCCAATTCGAGCTGTACGTGTCCATTGTGGGCACTTCGCCGGCCACAGCGCAGATGACGGAGGCCAAGACGTCCTATCTTCCGAGGGAGATTTTCTGGGGACAGCGGTTTGTCAATATCATCCATTACGACGCGCAAACCGAACGCTACATTGTGGACTACGAGAACTTCAACAGGACCATTTCGGTAGACATGCCCATAATGCACCCCACAAATGATCACTTGAAGCTAGAGTACAGAAAGTGAAGTGTTTTCTAAAATATATTTAAAGATCGCATTACACTTTAGACAGCACGAATTCCAACGAATTTAAGAACACTATTAAACGAGGTAAATATTCTTTAGCATTTTTGAAATACAAGTTTATTAGTTTGATGAACAAATAATTATTTAACATATACCTTCAGATAGATTCATATAAATTCATGGGACGCCAAGAGTATTTTGAAAAAAGTTACTAATAATTGACAACAATAAATGAAATACAATACTAACAATGTTTCAATAAATTATGAACATGTCTCCCGCGCACTTTATTCTCCGCATGATTCAGTTTGTTCCTGCTCTTGGTAGAATTTTAACCTAGCCCTTAACATTTCATTTTCATTTTGTAGGCGTGAGAACTCGCGCATGAAGCTATCTCCTTGGAGTAGTAAAGCTAGGGCGTCTCGGATCTCCCTTGTGTTTTCCACCTGCTGCTTCATGTAGTTGGTCATCTTATCAGCCAGTTGCCGCTGATTGCAGAAGCCAATGTACTCCAGTTCGCGCTCCACCTGCTCGCAGCGCTGGTCTACAAACTCTCTAAGCTCGCTGAATTCTTTGCGCCAATCTGCATCCATTTGGCCGGATAGTCCACTTGAAGATTTGGCCAGCAACTGCTGAGGCTTCAATAGAGGATTTGACGATTGTGGTGTGATGTTAGCATGGTGCGGGGTACTGTTTCGACTGGCTGAAAGCAAGCGCAGACGGCGTTTCATTTCGGCATCTACCGGCGGGGGATTCTCTTTGTCACTGCCTCCTCCCGTGCTGCTGGCCTCGGAAATGTTGGCAGACTGCTCCTCACAGAGCTCATCTGTTTCGGCGATTTTCATCAGCTTCCCGTCTCCGGAAATGTTGCTCCGATCCTTTAGTGGGCCGCTTAAGGTCTCTGCAAATAAGAAGCTTACTAAAACTAAAAAATAATAATTTATATAGTAACTTGCGTTGCAGTGACTCCGTGGTGGAGCTGTTGGCAGAGTTATCCACCGAGCTGGGCCCAGATCCCACTGGAGGACAAAGACTTTGACGGTGGGCATTTTCATTAGTCTGCGGTTTCCGGTTGAGCGTCTCCCAGTCAAAGCTGTCTCTGCAAGAGGTGCCAAAGCGGGTCGACATGCGATCCACAGCCCTTGGGCCTTGGGCATCCAAAAACTCGCAAAATGAATCCCGGCGAACTATGCTAGTCGCCGCCACGCCGTGACCAAGACTGTTAAGCTGTTGCTGGGAGCTCAAAAAATTAGCGGCAATAGATTTACGCAACTCATCGCTAGGAACACGCTCTACACGAGGAGCTTCGGTTACCAATCCAGCTGCATTTCCGGAGCTGTTGAGGCTACCGTTCTGCTGGCTATCCCCACTTGGCACGGGCACGAAGGCTACACGTGTCACAACCGCATCGTGTACAGTCCTCACGGCCAAAGGAGCCTTCGTACTCCTCATATCATAGGAAATCAATTCGCCCTTAAGGTTTCCAGCACACAGGTAAGTCCCACATTCACTCAGCGCCACCGTCGATAGCGGATGCGAGTAGGTCAGGCGATCCGTAGAGGCCTGAGCACGATGCCGTCGAATGTCGAAGATGTTTATCTTGCAATCGTAGCCCACGCTGACCAGCAGCGCTGGCTGGGATGCGCACATACTGATGTCCCGGCAGGGAGCACTGTGCGCTTCGCTGGCATGGAAGATCTTCCGCATTCCCTGCACATCATAGACGGTCACGGCCCCTATATAGGAAGCGATCGACAGGTGGAAGCGTTTGCTCGGATGAAAACGCACAAGGGTTGACCTGATATTAACAGGATAGCAAAAGGTTAATGCAATTATGTTGAAATATACCTATATAATCTAACTTTCAGAGGACTTTTAACTTACTCGCCATCTATGATAAAGGTGTTGGTCTTCTGTTTGGTTTTGGTGCCCAAGATACTGATGTCCCCGCCTTCACGCACTGCAGCTATATACTCGTCTGTATTGTTGTAGTCCATGTAGAGAACAGTGCTCCTTTGCGGATCCGCCGGAAAACGGTGGATCAACTGTGCCGTCCGGAAGTTGTATAGCTTAACACAACCGCTCTGGCCCACAGCAATCTCTTCCATTGATTGCTTGGCACACGCCACACAGAAGGCATTGTCGATGGTAAGTTTACGGACTCGTTGAATCTCGGGCGCTGAAGAGTGGGGGTTTTAGTACTTCCGAGGGAATTGGGGTCCGAACCTATCTCTTACTCTTGCCATCCCTCTCCTTAATCCGCATCACAGCCAAGCCCGCCATTTTATCCACCTCCACAAATACCCGGCGCTGGCCGTTGAACTGGAAGTCTGTCGGCTCTGCACCTTTGTGCACATACTCAGACTTCGTCTCGAGATCCGCGAAGTCGGAGAGCACGGTCTTCTTAGAGGTTGAAATCACATACATTTTGCTTTACTTCTGCAGATTTTTACACAATTCAAATTTGAGTGCTTTTGTTTGGATTATTAAAGAGTGTGCCCGCCGCTTTATTACCGAAAAATTCCAAAACCCGTCAACCATTATCTGAGTGATGTGAGCCACTTAGGCTGATTCCACTACTCCTAAAAAGTCAGCAAAAATTTCTAAATTAGTATTTAAAATTCCTCATCTCACACTTTTGAAAATGCTGTCAACATAACCTTTAATTTGTTTCTGTATTTAACTGCATCAAATAATTAAGCAATATAATTTTCAAAAAGCGAACACAAATTGTTGGTGCGCATTGAACTGCTGCAGAGGCTGCTTGAATCCGCAGTGAGAACGCGTCGGCCAGTGCGGTCACACTAGTCATTCACAACCAAATTCATCGGATCATTGGCAGATAGGCAAGAAGAAGAGCAAGCAATCACCTGCGAAAAAGAAATAAATTGCCGAGAAATGTTAAAAACCTTGTAGTGCGGCAATTTGGCGTGCGTTGAAATGATTCCTGGCGACCAGTAGAAGCATTTAGTGACCACGCTACTCATCCCTCGTCCCCCGCCGCAGCGGCTGAGCCACTGGACAAAGGCCAGCATACAACAAAAACAACATCACTGAGACAGTCACGGCCCATTGGCACCCACACTAGCACACATACACACACGCACTGCGTAGAAGCCAATAACAAAAACAACAAGAACTGGGAACGGAGGCCTTCAACTGCTGGAAAGATGGAAGCGGACGGACTAACCAACGAACAGACGGAGAAGGTGCTCCAGTTCCAGGATCTCACCGGCATCGAGGACATGAACGTCTGCCGCGACGTCCTGATTAGACACCAATGGGATCTCGAGGTAAGCATATGTTTATATGCCCGCACAGTGAATGTCAGAATAACAGGGACACGTACGATACATACAGTGGTGGCTGAAAAAGTTCTACTAGTAACAAGATTTGTAAATGTTATCTTTACTCTTAGGAAATATTTCTATTTGTGCGTTTATAAAATATCATATTTAGTTCCCGTTAACCTTTTAACATCTAAATTTGCAGGTTGCCTTCCAGGAGCAGCTGAATATCCGCGAGGGGCGTCCCACCATGTTTGCAGCCTCCACAGATGTCCGAGCGCCCGCTGTCGTTAACGACCGCTTCCTACAGCAAGTGTTTTCCGCCAACATGCCTGGCGGAAGAACGGTGAGCCGGGTGCCCAGTGGCCCCATTCCCCGCAGCTTCACGGGGATCATTGGATACGTGATTAACTTCGTGTTTCAATACTTCTACTCCACGCTGACGAGCATTGTTAGTGCGTTTGTGAACCTGGGCGGCGGAAACGAAGCCCGCTTGGTGACAGATCCACTAGGCGATGTGATGAAGTTTATTAGGGAATACTACGAAAGGTATCCTGAGCACCCGGTCTTCTATCAGGGCACATATGCACAGGCCCTAAACGATGCTAAGCAGGAGCTGCGCTTTCTAATCGTTTACCTGCACAAGGATCCCGCCAAGAATCCAGATGTGGAATCTTTCTGCCGCAATACACTGTCGTCGAGATCAGTCATTGACTATATTAACACACACACCCTGCTATGGGGATGCGACGTAGTCACGCCGGAGGGCTACCGAGTGATGCAGTCGATCACAGTGCGCAGCTACCCAACGATGGTGATGATCAGCCTTCGAGCAAATCGCATGATGATCGTTGGACGTTTCGAGGGGGATTGCATGCCCGAAGAGCTGCTCCGTCGCCTCCAGTCGGTGACGAACGCCAACGAAGTGTGGCTGAGTCAAGCGCGTGCGGATCGCTTGGAGCGTAATTTTACACAGACTTTAAGAAGACAGCAGGACGAGGCCTACGAGCAGAGTTTGCTTGCGGACGAGGAGAAGGAGCGTCAGCGGCAAAGGGAGCGGGATGCCGTCAGGCAGGCTGAGGAGGCTGTGGAACAGGCTCGACGCGACGTCGAGCTTCGCAAGGAGGAGATTGCCCGGCAGAAGATCGAGCTGGCCACTCTGGTGCCATCCGAGCCGGCAACTGATGCTGTTGGCGCCATTGCAGTTGTATTCAAGCTGCCCAGTGGAACACGCCTAGAACGAAGATTTAACCGGACGGATACGGTGCTGGTAAGTTAGAGACTAATGATGGCTTGTTTTGTTGGGATTAATGATTTTATTCTATTGTAGGACGTTTATCACTATCTCTTCTGCCATCCCGATTCGCCGGATGAGTTTGAGATCACAACGAATTTCCCGAAGCGCGTGCTCTTCTCGAAAGCGAATGTTGACGCCGCTGGGGAAGCAGACAAAGCCAACGAGACGCTGAGCAAAAGCCTTCAGGACGTGGGACTCAAAAACCGCGAGGTGCTGTTCGTTAATGATCTGGAAGCGTAACCAAGCACCACCTACCAAATGAAAGCATCATCGTGTTACCCAGCTGCAACGCATTACCAAAACTTGAACCAAGTTTTAAGTAGTCGTAGTCAACGTCCAAGTCGGAGGATAAACAGAGAAACTATTCCTAATTTAATCATGAATATTAATATAAATAATTGTTTAACAATGTTTAGGTTGATTCTCTAATCTACCCACCACCACCAACCCGTTTCTCAAACATTCACACATCAGTAAAAGTCGTTTCCAGAATAATTTCCGTCAACCACAATTTAGTTTTTTTTTTATTTAAGAATTTTTGTTATGTTAGCTGTACTTACAATTCCGTCTATTTAACGATAAATAGAGCCGCAGCCTTGTTATTTGACAGAGAGTTTGAATTCAATTTGAATGTGGTCAAATTGATGATATAATTAATCATTTTAAGTGAGAGCGTTCAAATACACAAGTACGGGAAAGTTAATCATAAAAATATAGTTATACAGATATTACTTTAAATCACTAAACAAGTGCTTTTCTACTACTAGAAACTTAAATTGTTGAGGGGGAAATATAACATTGAGGACATTTATGAAATGCGATTTTAAATATCAAAAGACAAATTTAATTTCAAACTTAAAATTTTGGTATGGCAACGCCATTTGCACCTATCGATACCTTCGGTGGTGGGCGATTTGATGGAATCCATTGATCACTACTCACGCAATTAAGACCTAAATTCAAAGTTATATAAGTAATATACTGTTCTTCAAATATCAATTTCTGTGACAATTCGATTTTAGCTACACTCACAAAATGTAAAGCTAAAAGAAGCGCCCAGTTTAGACAATTCTATCTTGTGCACTCACGACAGCAATCACGAGCCCACCTCTAGAATACCATAGTCATTGCTTGTTAGTCAGCACGAATGTCACGACGGAGTCGTGTGAAAATCTACATATACGCTGGAATTCCGAGGATTGGAGGAGAATAGTGATCAAGAGGACAATAACGACTGGTTCACCGACGACGAGAAGACACGTCTGCTGCCCGGGAAAAGGGGAAAATCAGCAAACACTGGCTTGCGGCCGAAAATTCGGCAGTTGACTTCTAATTTGCTCAACGTGGAGGAGGTTCGCAACGTCGCACGGAGCCTACGTCAACCAAGTTACCAGAAGCTGTTTCAGCAGGACAAGAGCAACCAGGACATCAGGACAACCCGCAAGAACCCAAAGACCATGACAACGCCCTCCACTTCCGTGGGCGATGCAGCCGCCGCCTTGTCCGGCAATCTTCAGTTGCCGCCTCTCCGAACCCTCGATGACTTCATCCTGGGATCGGCCCGATTCCAACTGCCCAATCTCAAGGATTTCGAGAAGTGGGGCAATCGGGTGGTGAAGAACCTGCTGTACTACCAAACCAACTACTTTCTGCTCTTCCTTACCATCTACGTTTTGATGATTTTCTTCAATCCTTCAAAGATTGTCACTGGTCTGCTGGTGCAGGCTATAATCATAGCCGTAATCTGGCAGTTCTTCAGTGGAAAGTCGAAGAATAAATTCATCGCCAGTCGTCTGACTGGGGGAAATGCAGCGGAGCAGAATGCCCAACAGAAGTGGTACATACTGGCTGGAGCTCTGCTCGGGGGGTATCTCCTCCTGCATCTGCTGAGCGCGGTGCTCTTGACAATTTTCACCGTGTTACTGCCCATTTCGCTGACCTTCATCCACGCCTCCTTGCGACTGCGGAACATCAAGAACAAGCTGACCAACAGCATCGAGAGCTTTGCTCCCTCCACACCCATGGGCTCCTTGTTGGATGCCCTAAATGTCCGGGCCGAAGGAGTCTTTAATTAGATGGTGTTACCTGCGGACCCGTTTGACTCAATTGGAATGATCGTTTTTATCGCTAGTTATCCTTGTCAATGTTAATCCTTGCAAAGCAAATCCCGGTACTATAATCGATTTTGATTTTTGTATTAAACTATGATTTTATGCAGCCATCATGTAACGCAATTATTATAAAAGTCAATAAAGTTTTCCCAGGAAATTCGCTGTGCTGCTCTTGTAAGGTACTTTAATTTAAATACCAATTAAAAGTTTTCTCGATGGTTTTACTCCTATTTAGTTTGTAGGAATTTTAGTTGTTCAGAGGATGTAGAGCTGGAGCGTTGTTTCCAGCGATTTCAGCGGCAGTGTGAGCATCGTCGTTTTTTCCACCCGTCTGTGATAAATGCTTGACGAGGTCCACCCAGTCCCAACCACGTTCCCGGTCTCCCTTGTGATCCGTTCTTTCCCACTGCCGGCGCTTTTGCGCCTTAGTCAAGTGCTCCTTCTTGGGCTCCTTTTTCTTGGACTCTGCATCAGCATTGGGGTCGGAGATCTTTAGAGCACCCACGCCATCATCTACTAATGCTACCGCGGGTGCGGAATCGGGCTGTTGGGCGGTCAGCTGTTCCAGATTATCCTTAAGGCATTCAAACAGGGTATAGGTCATGCCACAGCCCAACCACTGGGTGGCTTCCGTACTCAGAGCCGTTTGGATCTCTTCCTTGACAATGGGCAGTCTATTAAAAGGAAAGCGAAGTCTTTACAGCTAACCACTCGATTCTTCCACAGAATTGCGATCCACTTACAGATTCCTATTGTAAAACGTGTTCATATTGATCGTTGGCGCCTCATCGGGGTAATTTTCGCCCCACTTGAGCTCGACCAAAAATGACTTGTAGTTATCCTCTTCGCCATACTAAAAGTTCATTTATTATTTTCAAAATTAACATATTTGTTGGTACTTTTTTATCCATGTGGCTTACTTTGTATTGAAATGTGACGCTATCTATTTCCTTGAAGTTCGTGTCGCCCTCGTATATAGACTGCAATGCCTCCCGTTCTTCCGTTTGCTGTTCCAGTGGCGTGCTCATAGTAAACTGTGTTGTTTTGCAGTTTGAGTTTAAAATTTGATCATTTTTTGCTTAAAACAACACAAAAATCATAAATGATGTTGTAACAAAAACAAAAGCAACAGTAACAATCAGCTGGCCACCGGTTGCTGTGTGACCGTACAATTTCAGATCAGTTATAGCTTGTTTTCACTTTCGCAGGCGGACTTAAATATATGTATTTTTCTTATTTAATTAAATTTATATTTATGTTTGTGTTTTATTATTTTTAATTGCTCCTGGAGATATTTTTTTACTTCCAAATGTATATATAGGAGTAGTAAAACTAGCAAACAGCGTGACTGATGTAAAACTGGGGAACCTAACTTCGGAGGCAGGAATACCACAAACCTAATTCGATAGGCACAGTAAAGCTATCGAGCCAGTACAGTTCAGTTCGCAGAAGAACAACATAAAAGAACGCAAACAATAACAACATAAAAACTCATAAAATGGCCAGTGCGCGCGTGAATCATCGTTGAGCAACAATTAACATTGATTAACTCATGATCGTGCGACGTCACTAGCAGCGGCAACAAGAATTGGGGTACACGCGACCCTTGAGAAGTATGTCGTCAGATGCGATTTCCGCATCGGAATGTGCGCACCTGGTGGAATTCAAGCGATTTCTGGCCACTACGGCGGAGAAAGCAGCAGCCGTAAGCGAGGAGGTAGTCAGCCGGAGTTGTGTAACCCGTACCGCCAATGAAACATACAAAGTGTCCGGCGAGGAGCGTCATGCCGAATTGGTCGCCGCCATTTGGAAACAACTGGAGTCTCGGGGATGTCCGGCGCATTTCCGGATGAAGCTACTTCACCGATGCACACATCAGCTGGAACAGGATCTGTGCTTTGCCAAGGAGTGCGAAGTCACCGTGGAGGGTCCCCCGCAGTACGATCTTCTCAAGCTGCAAAAGTTCGTGGCCAGTGAGTTTGAAAAGTACATCCTAAAACTCACCGATAACTCGGAGGTGGATCGCCTTAAGGACTTTGGGGATGACGAAGAGCCTGAGAACTGTGAGTGCCAACAGAAGAAAGAACCCCTGCATACATCTGCCGCTGTAAAGAACAAGCCCCGAAAAATGGAGGATCGCTGTGTTTGCCTGGATCGATTTGGTGAGATGTACGAGTTGCCGGACAAGAACACTCGGTTTTTTGGCGTCTTTGATGGTCACTCTGGATCTTTATCCGCCACCTATGCCACCAGCCAGCTTCCCCAACTGCTGGCCGATCAGCTTAAAGCAAATCCAGATCCTGCTGCATTCTCGCCAGATTTTTATCGCAATGCCTTCGAGTCGGCATTTTTGGTGGCGGACGAGCGTTTCACCCAGAAGAAGATCACCAGCGGCACAACTAGCGTGTGTGCCTTGATCACAAAGGACCAGCTTTATATAGCTTGGGTTGGCGATTCCAAGGCCCTTCTAGTGGGTAAGCGAACTCAACTCCAGCTGGTGAAACCCCACAAGCCAGAAAATCCGGATGAGCGCAAGAGGATAGAAACAGCCGGCGGAACAGTGCTTCACGCCCAGGGGCAGTGGCGTGTAAATGGCATTCTGAACGTGGCCCGCTCCATTGGCGACTACAGCTTGGAGGCAGTGATCGCGGAGCCGGACTTCGTGGATGTGCAGTTAAATGAGGCTCACGACTTTCTCGTACTCGGCACCGACGGCCTGTGGGATCATGTACCCGAGTCGCATATAATCGAAACCGTTTACGAGTCCCTAGCGGACCCCACAATGAAGTTGGACGACATTTCCAAACTGCTTATAGAGGCTGCCAAGGAGGGGGATTCGCAGGACAACATAACAGCGGTGGTGGTTTTGCTCAAACCTCGATACCAGATAGAACATCTTTAAAAGTTTAGGTCCAAGCAGCGAATTTTTTATATTGTTACCCGCCTTGGGATGGGTTTAATTTGTACAAATTCGAAGCAACTTAAGAGTCGTAGAAGCGAAAAGTAATCTTGAATCAACTCCTTGTGTGTGGGATAACACAAAACAATCATATCAGATTTTACGTATTCGAAAGAGAAAAGTGCCAAATATTTTTAATTAATTGAAGAACGCAATATACACTTGATATTGGCATACATATTGTGGGAATAAAAGGGAAATATTCCATTTGCTAAAATATTATTGAACGTGCGCAAACGTTTAACGTGATACAACGAAAATATGGTATTACAAATGACAGAACCCAAGTCCTTGCCTAATTTAAAAAACATGTATATACCCAAAGATTACTTTCCGAACCTACATTTACAAATTAATCATCAACGAAAATTAACCCAAACCGGCCCCATTGTTGTTTCGTTTACTTTATTGTTGCAATGTAAATAGCTTGGAGCGGCTCAGAGTGCTCCTACCTTTATTGTCACATTCTCACGTGCCTACGTGGTCCTGGAAATGGATGACCCCATCCCGGTCCACTTGTTTGGTTGCTCGAATAAGCTCAATCAAAATATTTTTGTGGTTGCTCAGCAGTTGAAAGAAATTTTAAATAGTTACATTCATGTCTCGGTTAAGGCAACTGTTGTTAGCCTAATAATATATACAAAAAGTGCACAAGTACGCAGATCAACATGTTTATATATTTTTTAGATTAGCCAGCAAGCATATTTATACACATTGAAGTTGTTTTCGGCCGCTTAGTGCTTCCTGCTGTATGATAATAAGCCAAGCCAGGTACACATGTAGTGTAGACCTAGTTATACGCGTATATATTTACACCCGTAACCGTATTTAATGATCCCACACAGATTAAGTACCTTTTTATACAAATCTAATGAACCTTTCATGCATTTTATCGAACAACCCAGAACACATTTTTAACGATACACACGCCAATTGATTAAGATTTTTTATTGGAATAATAAAAGTAATTCACTGAATTGTCTTACGTATCTCTAGCTGGGTGGCGGTTGACCCTGTCGCGAATGGTTGTTCGGAGGAGGTGGAGCAAAGGGTGGTGGTGGCGGGTACATGTGGGGGTACATTGGCGGCATGGCATAGGGCATGCCATAGCCATAGTTGGGCACTGGGAAGGGCATTCCAGGCTGCTGCTGCGACATGTTAAAGTTAGCCGCTGCCTGGTGATAGTTCTGGTAGTAGTTGGAGTGCCAGCTTCCCGGATTATAGCTTGGATGGTAGTTATACTGTTCGTCTCGGGGCTGATTCTGGTTGCTTTGGTTAATGGAGGGTCGCTGGCTCTGCCGGAAACTCTCTCGTTGGCCACGACGTCCACGCTGGCGAGGAGGAGCTACCGAAGAAGCCTCAGTGGCTGTTGTTGCCACCGAGGTTACGGTGTCCACGGAATCTGTGGAGTTGGTGCGATCCCTTTGGCGGCGCTTTCGTTGCTCTGCCCTGGCTTCTCTTTCCTCTTCATCGTCCGAGTGATCTACATAGCGGGATGGTGGTTCTACATCGTGCTCCCACGAAGCATCCGATCCTTTAACTTGCATCAGCTTAGAGAGGATCACAAATTGGGTGTGTTCGGTCTTTGGAGCGCAATACACCACGTCGCCAATTTTGATGCCCCTATCAAGGATCTGTTGGTTACTGTTGAATCGAACGCAGTACAGTGGATCCGACACTTGGCCCAACACATCGAACACTTCACCAAGGACCTTGCGACCCTTCTCCAAGAACAAAACGGTGTCCAGATCGAATAGCATGGAATTCGGTAGCACGGAAACCAAAACAAGCTGATCCACGATGGACTGAACTTTGCCCAGTTCAACGCATTCATCTTCGGGTACAGTAATCTCTAGCTGATGGATGGGTGGAAGGTCATCTAGGAGCATTTCTCCACGTACTTTCGGGGGCTGCCGACGGCGAGACCGATCTCCTGTGGCCCCATCTTCCTCGAAGTCCTCGTCATCTTCGTCGCAATCTACGGTGTTGATTCTTTTGTCAATCTTCTTGCGAAGTACCGTGAGGTATTCTCCTTCAGAATCGGAGTCTGAGTCACTGCTGCTGCTGCTTTTTGATTTCTCGTCGTCCGAGCTAACAGTTACTACTGGACGATATGCGGTGGTGGAGGAGGCGGGGTCCGAAACTGGAACTTCAATCACTTCGTTGTCGCCATTCTGCACTGCAGTGACTTCCTCTATATCTGAGTCATCAGAGCTGTAGGCAGCCAACAGACTGAGGCCACATGCTTGGGGGCTTGAATTAACCTCTGGAGCGGGCTGAACTCTAGGTGCGCCAGAGGCAACCGACTGGTCAGACGATTCACAATCCATTTCTTGTGGTTGCTCTGGCTTCTTGCAGGCATTTCCCTGGGGCACTAGATCTGATGATATTTCGCACTCCATTCCCGCACCCTCCTTTGGGACTAAATTCGCAACCTGTTCCTGGCCTGATATGGTTGCGATTGCTTTTGTTGACTCTTTGACCAATTCATTCTCCACTTGCTGTTCCATTTTTACTGGTTCTGCTTCCGCATTAGTAGTTTCTGCATTGAAATTCCAAGTCTTTTATTGAATTTATCGCTTAGAAAGCTCTTAAGCTTACCTGTAGGCATTGTTTGCACCTTATCTAATGATAAGTCTCCTTCCAAGGTGCTATGTTTCCCCAGTTCAACAGGTGTGTCGGAGGTTGACGGCTCTATAACTGAAGCTGAAGCCTTTACAGCCGTTGGCTGCTCACTGTCCATTATTATTTAACTTTAAATTGCTAAAAGATTCCTCAATAGCTGAATTCGAAGGAAAACCAAACTCAACTAGAATAACACACGTTGAATGCGCGCACGTGTTGTCTTCTTCTTCGCAAAGTAGCATTCACAGCCATACAGAAAGGCATCGATTCGTTGTGAATGGCATAGGTATATGCCGCTCTTACAAAATTCAAACTATTAAAAATGCGCACATGATTTTTTAAATGTTTATTGTTAAAAAATGTGATATATAATTTTTGTTTTTCTTAAAATTGTTTACTTTTATTTGTTTCATTAAAATCATTTGCGTGGTGTGACGGTATGCACATAATTCATATATTGCATTCATTGAAAAGCATTAGAGTTAAGCAAAAATGGACGCAAACTTATTCTGTAGATACTCGAGGCTAATGATTAACTTACTATTGCACATTTAGCATTAAAAAAGCTTAAAACTTTGTACACTTTTTGCTCAAAATGCAATTGAAACTGGTTTTCCGTAGTTCGTTGTGAGATTTTTCATGACTATAATCTAAAAATGTATTGTATGCTCTCGAAATATCGAAATGCGTAATTACAATAAGTGCTTACAAAATAGATTCTTGTTTTCTTCAGTGTCTCTTTAAGTCCTAGTAGCAGCTAGTAATTGAAATAATGTCTCCCGATAAATTCATGGGGAAAAGCAGGGCTAAATTATCTTATCAAATATCGGTTACAAACATTACTTTGTGCTAAGGCAGAGTTAGTTGGAAGATGTTCAAGTGCGAACGAGTTTCACAAAGCTAAATCTATGTTTATATCAATAGCACTTAGTTAATATCAATGTATTCGCTCTATGGTAGCCATGTGAGATATGTGGGAATGATAATGAAGTCCAATGAAATCAATTTTTCAGGTCAAAGCAAGCAACTACGGTTAAAATCAAGTAATCAAAGTCACCATCCTCCTACACCTTCCAGTCCAAGCGGTATTCGTCCACCAGCAGCAAGTGCTGATGGATTAGCCAACCTATGATAATTAGAAACATGTATTAGGCCTTGAGTACAAATGGAATCTATTTAACCATACCCGATTGCTGCGCCAGCGCCAAAAACTCCTGCCACTTTGTCTGAATGTCCCAGTACTTCTCCTTAATTTGATTCCTGTCCTGCAAATAGGACACGGCAAAAAAGTACGCCTTCAGCACATCCTGCGGACGCGTTTCGAAGTGCAGATATACACCCAGACACTTTTTGGTCTCTGCGATGATGAAGTGCTCGTGGGGATCGAAGGAGGACACTATGTCTTCAATAACGCTACTACTCTTGTACTCGTCAATCAGATTTTTAACGCTCAGTCCCAGCTTTATGTTCAGAGACACAGAAACCGTTTGGCCAACAGTCACTCGCTCCATTGCGTTTACCTAAAAGTAATACACCAAAAGATAAGATTGAAAAAACGTAATTGATCGACAGTTCAATAATATATCAACCTGCTGCGGACTGAGCATCCTTGATGACCTGAAAAACTCCTCCAGGGCAATCAAATAACGTGACTCGTTAAAGCTTCGCAAGCATACCGCCCGTACCGCTTTCAGATTGGCATATAGATGCAGGCTGACAACCACGTAGAAAATGGTATACAGGACCGCCTGACTCTTGATCAGCGAAAGGAGATACAGGCCCACAAAGGAGGCCACCAGATTCACGCACGTCTCCTGCGAACTGTCCTTGGAGGCCACATCCGCCAGATTGCCCCTCAAGGCATGATGCTGGGTTAGGGCCGATCTTGTGGCACCTCCGGCCACGCCCACAATTGCCTTCAGTAGGGTAGAACAGCACAGGATTTGGGTGCTGAAATGCGGATACTTGGGAAGCACGTAGATCTCGATGCCCATGGCCAGATCGTTCAGAAAATCAGCACGCAGGCGCCATTTCTTTGAGTCCACATCCAACTGGGAGCCCTGCCACCAGGCGAACACTATGCGACCCACATGTCCACTACCCTCCTTCAAAATCCAAGTCGCCGTGGCGGAGAAGGCATTGATGTTCTCACTGCCCACGCCGATGCCCTTCAAAATGGCGTGTGTGCACAAGGTGCCGCAGATGGTGCTGCAGAAGGCCTGGGCCGTGTCCCAGATCTGGTATGCCGCATAGTCCTCGCTTACACTATCCGGGTAGCCCTTGGGCAGGAAGACCTTCTGAAGCACGCGGAACAGCAGGAACTTCTCCTGGATGACCAGCTTATCGCCACGCAGCGGCACTCGCACAATGTTGCTCTGATCTGGAGTTGGGATTATAAATAGATGATAATATGTACCTCCAAACAACCTGATATATCATTATGTTTTATCCGACGATAAATAAAAGGAATATCGTATTATGCACCTACATTTTAAAAATATATATGAAATTTGAACATCATTGAACTTAGATGAGAACTATTATTAATTTCTTTAACCTTTCAAATATTTGTAAATATTTGTTAAAATAACAATAGATTTCGTACAAATATGTATGTTGGAGTAAAACATTTAATGGATAAACTTAAACGAGAAACATAATGTGAATAATGTTTACAGCAAAAGCTTGATTTAAAAGGCAACACGCTATAAATACAGAGTATTGAAAGTAATACAACAATAATAAGCCATATTATTAATTATAGAACTTAAGCTTGAACAGTTCCAATGGTGTTCTAACTTTCTTAGTGCCTAGTTCCTTAGTGCTGTATGCCCATAGCATTTTCGCCTGCCAGGCTCGGCTTGTTGGTTTGATCGATTTGCTCACCTGCTGGCGTCACATAGAGGATTTCCTCCCCCTTCCTGCCGTACTGTTCCCGAAAATGGATTTTCATCTTTGCTGTGCGTCGTGGCGTGTCTGGCGCTGTGGTAGTTGTGCGCCGTCTGGAAATTAGGTTTTATGGCTTTTTAGGGGCTCCAGCAGCAGCAAAACACCACCCACCTGGCTCCACTAGCCGCAAGCAGCGCTTCTTATTTATGTGGCTGTCTGTCTCAGGCGGGGAATCCGCGAAAAGCCATCGAACTAGCGGCTACCGCAACTGAAGCTGAACTCGAGCGAATCAATGAACGCGGCGTTGGAAAGCGAACTCTAGGACATTTTACAAGCAAGCCAATGGAGCCGCTTTTATTAAATGCTAGCAACTAATTGTGGCTGAAAGTAAATACACCCCAAAAAGAAATTCTCCCCTCCCATTTGTGTTATCAGTCAGCTGTGCAGCGGGCGCGTTTCGCAGCGAATACTGGCGGTGGCGCGTTATTTTCCCCATTTCGGCATGCGGCCATACTAAATATTTTACTTTTGTTTTAAAATTACCATTTGTCAGCGTTGTGTGAAACGGGCAGTTGTTTGTTTAAGAAATGTATATATTCTAGTGAAAATAAATCTTTATAAGTCGACCCCCTCTAGCAACGTAAACAACACCTGCCCATGCGATTCCCACACTCCACATCTGCTTGCCATCAGCTGTAATTGTCTCGCTGCGACGGCAACAGCTGCCAATTGAAAACGGTCACACCAACGGCTAGTTTATAAAAACGAAAGTCCTGATAAATTCGCCAGCAATAACAGCTCAGCAGACAACCAAAAGCAAGCCACAAAACAAACCATAAACAGTCCCAGTGACAACCACAGAGCTAAACAACAGTCCCTAGTGCTACCATTTGCAGGGGTCAGTGTGTGTGATACAATCGTCTAAATTTAAAGTGTGAAAAAGTGAGCGAACTTTTGGCAGCCGACTGAAGAGTAAATCCCGTTGCTGTGTGTGCCTAGTGCTACACTGAGAAAGAAACACTTAAACCAAAACCATCAGAAACCGGGCAATGTCATTGGAGGATCTCAAGACCAAGCTGCGCCGTCATCCGAAGTTAGTGGGCCTTGGAGGCGTTGGCCTCATTACTGCGTAAGTAAATCACGCCATTTTAGCCCAAGAAAACCACAACAAACCCACTTCTCAACCAGCGCAATACACAGAAAATAAAAATGGCTCCCTATTAGGAGCATTCTAATTAATTTTAAATTTATGAAATATGTTCTTCTTTTGCGTAATAAGCAAAACAAATTTTTGAATAAATTAAAAAAAAACGCACTCTATTGTTATCGTTTTTAACTAATTTATATCTAATGAATATCAAATTGAAAATTCCTACTAAAAAATACTAAGGAATAGACAATAAGTAGTTTTTGTGCAGTGAAAATAGGGAATTCAGAAACAAATATCCCGATGACTCACAACTTTTACAGCGCTTACTACGATTTAGGGGGCTCGTCTGCAGACGTTTTCATTTTATTTCTGCCCCATTTTACGTGGCGCCACATGGCACCGATCAAATCGTACGATCTATACATACTATATGCATATATCGAGATAAACAACAACAACAACAGGTCTTGTTTTCCGCATTCCCTATACTAAATGGGTGTTGTCGCACCGGTGACGTCATTTGTTTACAACAAATGGCGCGGTGAATAATCAGGCATTAGTGCAAAACTGGTTACAAACAAATGGCGTTTGGTGGTGTGACATTAAATGGAAGTTTATAATATGGCACTTAAATTAAGAATTGCGCTTAAATTAAGAATTAACAATACAAAGTACGAGTATTAAATGGTGTTAGTTTCAGTTAAACAAAAAATAATAAATATTTAAAGAGGTTAGAGTATAGTACAGTAAAATTTAGAAAAAGTATTTCAGTTTTCAAAGGGTATTTTCATAGTCTTTATCATGCGGATCACATACAGACTTTTTCTCGCCAAAACACGATCAAAACATAACGTACGATTTTGTAAAAGTGAGATAGCATGCTGGTGAAGTTTGTTTTTGTTTGCACCTCGAATTCTTCTTCTTCCTCTGCGTGTGCGTTCACAGCTGTTCAAGGCCCCCACCAAAAAAATAAGCGAAACACTGAAAAAAACCAGATGCCAGAACTACCATGGCGCCATCAAAGTGCGCAGTTTTTAATATCAGTCCCCCCCGCGAATTTGTAGTTCTTCTTATCACAAGTGATAATAGTGTTATTCTTATTGTTTGTTTTGTAATTTTGCACTTGGCGCGTGTTTTAAACGCGTGGAATGGGATAATGAGATAGTTGTTTTTAAAATCGTAGGTGACGCGCCCACTTTTTAAAAATAAACAAACTAGTCTTCGCATTTGTTGTTGTTTTTTATCTCGCGTTTAGCTCAATAACAAATAGTTGGCAGCAAAAGGTCTTGTTGTTATTTAAGGTCAAAATAATCAAAAAAAAAAAAAAGAAAAATCAAACGGAACTTAAGACTGATAAGAAATCGAGAATTTAATTCTAATGGGATAAAAGAAACAATACTTTCAAAATTAATATTTAATACTTTAAAGTTTACCATTTCAACTTTAAAGTATTAAGAAAGTTGAAATGTTATTTTGGAAATACTAAAAAATCCAGCAGCAATCATGCAAACCATTACAGATGGCTACAAATGTAAGCCATCACAGACATACATATGTATGTACTTAAAATCTCTATTTAACAATTTTGGAAATTTTTCAGTGCTGGTTTCTTGCTGTACGAGTCGCCTCAGGTCCGCCGGTTCCTCTCCCAATATGTGGACAAGAAATCCCCGGAGCCGGACAAACGGCGCGCCGAGTACATCTACATCAAGTACCACATCTACCGCGAGTCCATGCGAAAGCTGAAGCAGAAGGAGGAGGATGAGAAGAAATGGATCAGCGTGATAATCAACCCAATTGGAAAATGGTGGAAGGCGGCTAAGCACTCGGTGGCCTGGCGACTGCTGAATATCGCCCAAACTGGCAGCCAGCCGGAACGCCTCAAGGCGGTCCAGCAGCTCATCTGCATGGATCATTTGAAGGACTGGGATTTCCGGCATCTGGCCCAAATCTGTGATGCCCGCACGGCCGTCTCCTTGGCCCGTTGTAACGCGGACACCCGCTGGTTCATGCCAGTCCCCCGACGTGGGTGCATTAAGAATCCCAAGATGCTCCTCTCGGAGCTCCACGTGATGCTGGCCCGGCTGCGACCCATGGCTTGCGTAGACCACTTCTTCAGCAAATACTTTCCCGAACAGGATCCCATTGTAAGCCGATCTTAATCACCACATTAGGCGTGACACTAAATATATCTTGTTTTCCTGCAGGAGGACATTCACGAATACCTAACCCAGGAGCAGACAATAGTCCTTTCCACAGCCGACACGGATTTACTGAAAGAAATCATCTCTTTCCTGCACCACATCACAAAGGATCCCGAGGTGTCCGCCAGGCTTATGAGGGACGGAGGTCTCGTGCATCTTATGGAGCTACGAAAAATATTTAACGACGACAACGAGACCTTATCGACTCTGTGCAAAGTGCTGGCAAATATGTCCCTGGTGCCCGATGCCGTGGAACATTTCTTTACGTCCGGTTGGGTGGGCGCCCTCGCCGAATGGCAACAATGCCCCGATCTCCGCTTGCAGGTGATCTCGGCTAAGACTATGGCCAATCTAGATCACGATGATCCGAACCAGTGCACATATCCCCCAAATGTCTATCCCCTGCATCCCCGAGTGCGCACCCGCAGGAAGCCCAAGGCAGACATTGTTTTCGTCCACGGATTGCTGGGCGGTGTTTTTATCACCTGGCGACAGCGAGATAGGAAGCCCACTGAGTTGGGTCTCTATGGAAAAAACGCCTTCTACACCAGCGAAACAGACGATGTATTTCTGGTGGGCGAGCAGAAAAGACTCAATGGAGGCAAACAAAACCCCGAAGCGGTGAAAAATGGAAATGGCAATGGCATCCAAAAGACAGAAACAATCAAAGGTAAATGATAGTACTCATATTAGTATTTGTTTTTGACTAATTCACTATTTATTTCCAACTCTAGATCCTGTCTTGAAAGCTAGCAAAAAAGTGGAGGAACAGCGTTTGAACATCAGCGATGCAGCCACCAAGGAGTTCGTGGAGACACTGAGAAACGAAGCCGAGTTGGACTCGGATTGGGAAGTCGTCCACCCCGATGTTCCTATAAATGCCAATGAAGAGTGCGTAGGAAAATTTAGTATATGCGGAAGTGAATGGCGGAACCAGGACACAAGTGAGGAGTACACCAACTGCTGGCCCATGGAATGGTTGCCAGATGATTATCCAGATTCCAGGATTCTCGGTATAGATTACACATCAGCTGTCACAGAGTGGTCTGCTAATTTCACAAAATACTGCCCGTGTGAGAAAGGCCAGGGCCACATTGATGTGCGAGCTAGCACACTGCTCGACAGGATCTCAGCGTCGGATGTGGGCAACGATCGTCCGATCGTGTGGATAGGACATTCCATGGGCGGCCTGCTGACCAAGCTAATACTACTCAAATCCCTGGACTCCAAAGAGCCGAAGGTCCAACAGCTTGCCAAGAATACTAAGGGCATTGTATTTTTGGGAACCCCACATCGGGGCTCACCCATTGCCAAGTGGAAGCAGCACATGCAGATGATCCTGTCTCCTTCAATTGAGGTTAAGGAGATGGAGGAGAACTCGCCGAAGCTGCTGGAGATGCACCGCCGTTTTATGGGGTGCTTGCACACGCTCCTGCGCCATGTAAAGGTCGTCAGTGTAGCTGAAGGATCCCCCACCATGTTGACCTCGTTCAAGTTCCCACTGCGCATTGTCACTGAAGAGTCCTCTAAGATAGATTTTGGCGATTTCTATCTGCTGAAGGATGATCACTTGAGCCTTTCCAAACCAATTTACAGGCAATCGTTTCTGTATCAGAGATTATTGCACGTAATTCGCGAAGCCGTTAAGGAAAGATCAGAACCTAAGGATCAGGATGGCCAGTCACAAAGCACTCAAAATGAAGATGTTATGCTTATCAACATCGTGGCTGCTCTGTTGAAGGGAGCCAAGGGTCTTTTCGAATCGCTGCCCAGAGTAGCCCTTAGATTTAGCACTTAAAATGGTTCACATCCCACTAAACACCAGTACCTTAATAGTAGCCCGACTAGTCTTTATAGACTTGTGAAGTATTTTCTATACGAGCCCTCACCATCATGACCAATGGATCTTTGTAAATACTCTCGCACTCCATATAGTTTTTACACCCGAATCCTAATTTATTATTCTCGGTCTCCGACTAAAACGTTTAAATAAATATACATATGTATGTAACACTAAAGTGAGTGATTGAAGGTATATTCACTTTAAAGTGCAGCAAGTTGCGATGTTGATTACCGAACAATTAAATTGTGAAAATCATTGTTCGACGTAGCCTATTGAATACATTTATTTTTATAAATTATCCTTTTAAAAATATACATTCTTATATTAGAAATATTTTGCATTCCATTAACTTTTACTTGCGTTCTCCTGCTGCTGCTTGGCCTTCAGTCGCTCCTG